AGTATATATATATATATATATATATATATATATATATATATATATATATATATATATATATATATATATATGTATCAGTGTACGTAATAGTACTTGTAGTGTCTAAAATAGTATGACGACGGTTTCGGAAAGAATCAAAGAGCGACAATAATATTTCCGGAAGCCTGATCACCTCTTTTTTAACTCTTTATCATTCGTTACTAAAATTATCCACTGTCTTGCCCAATTTATATTCATATTGAGATTTCGCATCTCTTAAGAACTGTTTCTTCAGCTTACGTCCAATTCAAGCAATCCTCGTTTAGCTACTTTTTTGCCAGTAATTCGGCAAGCTTTTACTAGCACCTCTCTTAAACTGTTACCCTCATTGAGGAAATGTATACAGCATGCGATAAAACAATCCCCAGCTCCAAGTGTATCAATAGCTGGTCCAGCTTGCATATATGCATCTACTGATATCATCTCTCCATTGGCAGTATGTCGAGCAGCTGCGCCCTGGAAATAAATAGCAATAGCTTATTGAAAATAACAAAAGATTCCTTTATTATTAATCAGCTTAATAACAACAATCATTATAATTAAGGATATCCTAAAACGTTAACATTAGTTCTCATTATTCTATTCCAAAAATATAATTTTTACAAATGATTTTTTACAAATGATACAATTTTTTTTTCACAAAAAAAAGCTCGTGATAACAATTTTCAAATTATTCAGACTTTTCAAATTAAAAGTTGTAGGAATTGTTCACAATTCACAAATGAAACAGCAAGTTCAAAAATTAAAACCTGTTCAGCCCATGGACAAATTACGATAGCACGTGAAGCACCGAAATTTTGCTGCATACCAAATACAGCTTCTTCCTTATTTTGGAAACCCTTCTTCCTAAATATGATTTGTTAATGGTTGGCAATAATGTAGAAATACATGTTTGTTAAAAGTTGACTGTTTACTTCCTTGCTTTTCCCGAATTCATACTGTTTCGATAAGTATCACTATGACAACAAAAAGAAAAAAACTTGGTTTGTCACAACTGGTTTTTTCTGATTTTTGAAATTTGAATTTTCATCTGCAAATTTAATTCCTAAGATTTCCTGCAAAGCATCCATCCTGAACTATCGGAAAACAAAAAGGGAATACTTCCCGAAAGAGAATACTATTTTATGACGTATACTACAAAGCGTGATATGAGATGACATGAAATAGCATTCCGCACACTATGAGATAGTATTCAACTCTATCAGTGATTCGAAACTACCACCGCTACCGGCACTACTACTACCTTACTGATAGGCAAATTAAATGAGATGAATAATACAACATATCGTTTGACCCAACCAGTAATTCCGAATTCATCAAGAGATGACTATTCCAGTTTAATGAATTGTCTATTGATTGTTCCTTCCAAACCATTTCTTTTATCAATGTTAACAAAAGATATCTGCATGTCCCATAGATTTACATAGAGATCAAAGTGTTAAAGACACCAAGATACCTTGCAAAATCTTTCGACACAAAGATAACGTCTACAAATGGTATAGCATTTTCAAGAGTTTCAAAATCTCGAACTTTTTCACATTCCAATGATAATTTTGGCCTTTCATTATTTTGTCGCGATATATGAACATATTCTATCATCGTGATAAGATTTTCAAAATTTCTTCCTGAAAAAGAAGAAAAAGAAAATATGAATATTATGAAAAGATGAAGAAAGCAATTCGTAGGATCCTACGAAAAGTGCTTACATTACTAATTTGAAAATCAAGAAAATTATGAACCTTCAAAATGTATCCAGGAAAAAATGTTGATATCTGGGAAAGCGAGCTGAAACTCGTCGCAATTTGGCTCTTGCAACTGCCCTCTGCAATAATATTAAAAGAAAATACATGCTTTAGATGCCGGTATCAACAGGTAATGCTTAATGATAACTTCATCAAATTCGTAAGTTTGAACTTAATTTTAAATATAAACTTGAATGGATGCAGTCTGAAGGTAATTTCCTGATTTCCATATTATTCGTCATTACTTTCTTTTTTCTTGACATACACATTATATAGAGTACAATTACCTGTAATGCATAATCGTTCTGGAGCCAGTCCCCTCACTGACAATTACTGTTGACGTCGGCAAATCACCATCCAAACGATGAAGACAGTGTTTCAATGAAATACCAACTTTGGCCAATAACCTGAAATCCTCTAAACAAGCTTTAGGAATAATGTAAAGGGGGAAAAAGAACAGAACGATCATTTTAAGTCTAAAATATGGAACATAGCATGAGGAAAGCGTTTTAAAAATTAATATTCTTACGATGTAATAAGGGTGCAGTTGATTGGAATTGGGGAAAATAGTACTGAATAAGGATTGAGCTGATTCAATACGATCACATTATTGGTTGCATTGCCTCCAGGTGTCCAAATCTACAACATTAGCCAAACCATCAAATTAATGCTGCAAATTCGTTCTTGCAAAAAAAAAAAATTATAGGATAGGTACGCTGCAACACGCATTTGGATTGTTTTACTTATTCAATATATCAATTTCTTTCGGTGGATTGAAATGAAACTGCAGAGAGTAATTTATATCAAAAAAGAACTGGTTAATTATCCAAATATGTTATATCGAATTTACTAGACGTACTGATTGGCTAGAAAAGGAAGGAATATAAGAATGGCTTGAAACTGGGATATATTGCATGTTCCGAACCATTCTTAAATTCTCAATTTCCCGTAATTCTGCAGTATTCCTTGATATTTAGGAAAGCTATCCCGGTAAGTAGAAAATCTTAGAAAAAGATAAACTGAATTTAAAGCACAGTGTGGACTTCTTTAATAGCCTGCTATGTGATAAAAACGAAAAACATTGATTTTATTAAGATTATACGCTTGTACCAAAATCTTTCCACTATTCAGGGAACATTAGAATAGTTTGCTAATACGAACCAGCAGTCATTGTAGTGTTGCCAAAAAAAAAAAAGTAATAGAAAAAATAATCTCAAATCGCGACAAATGAAAGGAACTGATTTCACATTCCTAATCACCTGTTTTAATATTCGAGAATCACTATCTTCAACTGGATAGCTCCTGACGTAATTGATGATATCGACGCATGTCAATCCAACAACAAGGATTTGCTTATCCATAACAAGACTCTAAAGGGAAGAAATCAGATTTCTGGTGTAAAATACGTTAGGAGCAAGCAAAGAAAAATCATCTTTTAACGGAAAAATGCCTTACAAGTTGAGTCATAGAAAAAACTTCTTTCTCTCTCGTCATGAAATCGGTATCAAAAATAATTTTTGAAAAGAAAAAGTATCCATAAACTTTTCATCATATAAAACCTCCTACCAACATCTGATAAGAAAATGGTTCCATTCTATCATTAGTTGCTATGTTTAACAGAAAACAAAATGCACAAATTCATTCTTCATGAGAAAACAAAATCAATGACAAATAAGCAAAATTGCACAAAGCAAAAAGAGAAATTTTTGGGAAAAGATACCCCAAAATCAACAAGTCAAGCAGATTTGCAATTCATCCCCGTGTATTTCACTCTGAAAGGCTGACCACGCGATAAGCACAAAGAATACAATATGACATGAAAAACAAAAGGAGAACATTAAAGAATGAAGTATAATTTGCATACTTTGCAAAAAATCGAGACATAGCTCTAGTTAAGCAAGAGAATAAATTAAAAAATACTGGATTACGTTTTACCGTTTTTCCTAAAACGTAAGCCTATATTTTTTCTAAAATATAAGCTTGAAGGGCAACTAATTGTCTCTCGTTTTATGTTTTTTTAATAGAAGTCAAAAACAAAGCACCGAAAATACCAAAAACAGTTCAAACATATTTACGGATGAACTCTATCTGTTTCTATCGTTCCTTGAAACTGATACAAAACAGAGCACTATAAAAAGATCTATCCACAGAAGATCAAACTTCCATTTATTTGATCAATAAACCTTCCGACAATTTCGTTACTTTTTTTTCAAATCACCTGCAATGGAAATGAAATTATTCAGATTTTTGAAATATAGGCCGTAAGAATGAGCACTGACTTGAAAAATATGTATGGTTGAACTTCTTGTGTAGGGAGACCTCTATTAATTACAGAACTTAACATTACGTGTTGGGATATGAAAACCTTGCAATCCAAACTATGCTGTTTCCTATCAAAGTGTAATTAAATCCGATTAAAACGAGCAAAAATTCATAACAGAGAAAAAAAAAGGAAAGACTAACAGCTCTGTTCATCAATCCACTGAAGAGCATCCAACTGACGCCTAAGGATCTGCGCAATTTGGTCTGCTGTTTCAGCCTGATCATCGACACCTTGACTAATTCTTTGTAGTTCTTTAACCTGGAAATTTGAATTTATCTTTTAGATATTTCGAATTCTGCACACAATACAGAAATTTCTAACTCATGAAATGTAAATGCACCTGTTCGATAATGTCATTTATATCATCATCTGCTTGTTTCAGCTGCGCATCAATCTGTAACTGTAACTGCAACCTAAAACCGGGCAAATTATTAGCAACTTTGAGATTAATTTGCGCAAAGAAACTTATATCGGTCGAAATAACAATAATATCTGATCACTTATTTTATGATTTACGTTTCCATATAACGAAAAACATACGCTAGTGACAAAAACCTTTCAACAAGAGAATTAAGATGTTACTTATAACAGGTGAGAAATTAAGATCAACAACTGCAAATTGCAAGTCGCAAAATAGGCCAATTTCAAGTAACAAAATGGGCGTGATTAGGCTACTAACATTATCAAAAACAAGCTTACATAGCCTGTCGTTGCATGTCGGCATGAGTAGCTACACCTGGATCCGGTAGTCCTATTGGTGCCATTTCCGTCCAATCACTAAGACCCAAAGCTTTTTCCAGATCAACAACTAAAGATTCAAGTTCAGTTTGCTGTTGAGAAATGAAATCAACAGCGTGCAAAAACCGGTCCTTCTCCTCTTCCAGCTGTTTGATCTCTTCGCTTACATCAAGAACCTACAACAATCAACTTACGAAATCGTATCTCCGTGATAAAATGATGAAATCCAGAATGAGATTCAAAAAATAAGTAAGAAATTTATCCGAGTAATTACATGCTGAAAGTGCTTAAACTTTGAATCCGGAAGAACAAATAGCTAAATGATCTCCGATCAAGAACAGCACATCATTTATAGTAAAAAATTAATGATTTTAAAGAAACCAAATCCAAAGCAAAAGAAGAAGACGGGAAAATGGGCTTTAAAGTTTTGGAGGCAAAGAGGTTAAAATAAGCAAAAAAAAAAAAAAAAAATGGAAGCCATACCTTTTGCTGATTTGCCTAAAA